AGTTCGTTCTATCAGGTTGTTGTTCGTTCTATCAGGTTGTTGTTCGTTCTATCAGGTTGTTGTTCGTTCTATCAGGTTGTTGTTCGTTCTATCACGTTGTTGTTCGTTCTATCAGGTTGTTTAACAGATTTTTTTTAGGAATTTTTAGTTTGGTTAGATTTTACTCAGAAAATTAATTTTACTTTCACATAAAATTTATTTTCCACAGAAAATTGATATAGGGGTTCAATCGTGCCATATGAAAGGTTTAGAAATCTATTCATTTACTCATTTAGGATAAATTTTTTGTTCATAAAAGTTTTATCACGATGCATGCAAATTTGTCCTCAATGATAAATGATTCAACGATAAAATTTGTTTAAACTTTTTCTTTTATGTATTTTTCAAATGATCAAAAATTTTTATATTTCAATTAAACAAAACTTTCATTGGTAAGTTCCCGCGGACTGCAGTGATGTGGCAGGCCCCGTAAACAGCAGCAACAACGGGGTTTATTGGATCCATCGGAGCCCCTACGTATACCCGGTTTATTGCTACTTCGAAGATAATGGACAAAAATACCTGGTCTGTATTAAATAAGTTTTATTATTATTATTATTATTGCTTTTTTAATCATTGTTATTAACTATTATTATAATTACAATATTATTATCGTTGATCTTATTTCATTTCAATAAATTTTTAGAAGTTTCCACAGCAAAAGCAATCAAGGAGTAGACATATTGCATGCAGTAGACGTGGATCTTAATGCAATCGAATCCAGTCACTGCAACAGCTGAACCAGGCCCTATAACCATTACTCTATCTCGCTTCCATCTCAAATTATTTATTTTCCAGGTCTTCCAACGACGTTTCGACGGCTCCGTCAATTTTTACAGGACTTGGTTGGAGTACGAGGATGGATTCGGTAATCTGAAGGGAGAATTCTGGCTTGGTTCGTTAATTTTAAATTTATTTATTCTACAAATTTTTTTTAAAAATTGAATTTTTTAAACTTTGTGTTTGAAAGTACACTTTGTCAATATTTTAACATCCTCCATACCAAAAAAAATTTTCTGTTAAAACTATTTTGCTTATAAACTTTGCTCGTCGGTTTGCAAGTTGAAACACTGATTACATGCTTTGCCTGATAAGCAGTGACCGGGTTCCATTGCAAAGAAATCTATGCACGTTATATATAATTTTGTATCCTGTATTTATGTGGGAAGCTGATTCACAAAATTTTTTTTAAGCTAAGAAGGCATAGGGCACTATAAAAGTATTTAAACAAAAACAAATTAAATTATTTAAAAAGTAATTAGCTAAGAGCCTAACACCAGGTTTTTAATCACTATAACAAATTTTTGTCACAACAATTTTAAAACTGATTTTTAAAATTTTTAAACAAAATAATCATGATCCGATTTCTTAGGAAACCGTTTCATAAGTCAGTACACATCTGGCAAGAGTAACTTCACACTGAAGGTGATTGCTGTAGCCTTCGACTTAAAAAGAGCGAGTGGCTACTTGTACGACTTCAAAGTGGCTGGTGGTAGTTTGAATTATATGATAATGTACTCGTCCTGTGGCGGAAACTACACCTACCGTTAGTTATTTATTTGAGTCCAGTTTTATTCTACTATCAATTTATATAATTTGTACTCAAAATAATTGGGCATTTACTAATATGTGCTAATTTTTAAAGTTTTTATAATGATTTAAAAAAATAAGCATGCAGAGTTCCACTAGACAAATATAAAAAACAAATTTATTATCGTTATTATTGTAACCCTTGTAAACCTTGTCTCTTTTAACTACAAACACTAATATTATAACTTCAATAATCTATATATTTCTAACAACATCGTTGTAGCTTCCGACGATCGTCAAGTGTTCGTTATTCCTTAGGTTCAAAGTTTCCGATAGATGAGCACAACTGCTTCAAGCGCAAACTTTGTTGAACGTTTATTTAAAAACCAACAGTAACAGAAACAATAAACTAATCCAAGTAACTACATGAATCCCATTTACGACCGCTCTTTTTCTGTGGAAACTTGACTGTAAACCTGACTGTATGGTCTAGATTTTTAACGTAGATAAAATATTTCTTTACAATCTTCTGTAGTTTACAATCAAAAAATTACAAATATAGCAAAAGTAACAATAATCAAATAACAAATAATATAGCGCAATTTGATCTTTCTGACAGTTATAACATTACACCCAACATGGCCTGTTAGTTCCTAACATAGGCCTGTATTCATTGTTTCGATAGAGGGGAAAAACTCTTTAAATGGATAATTTTCATCTTTGTCCATCCATTTTCTTGATTTTGGGTGCTGTAGCCTACTTCATTTATTGATATGATAGCTCGCCCAGGGCGTGGCACCGTCAAATGTTGATGCTTTTATTGACTTGGCCTGGGCATACCGTTTATTATGCTTTCTTTCCTTTATTTCTGTTTGCGGGGGTAATTGTTTCTATTTCTCGCTGATGTTTCCGTCCTAATTTTTCAACTCTCGTTTAATTCGTCCGTTTTTTTATCCATTTTTTGGCTTAACTCGTCAACTTGCTTGTCGATTTTATCGATCCGTTTTTTTAATTCTTCTTTGAATTTTGTTGTTCTATCTTTTCGTTCGTTCCGTTACATATACGTTGTTTAGTTTTTTTCGAAGTCTTTTGATTGCTGGTCACATCTTCTATTAAAATTGGTTTTTAATTTGGCTGCCATTTGTTTTAAGTGATTTGAAAAGTCGAACTCTTCCGGATCGTGATCTTCGGTTATAAGAGCGTCTCTTGGCGATTCATCAGAACTGATTTTGCTCTTTTCGATTCGAAGTTTCGTTGTCGTATTACCTTTCTCAGATTTTTTGTATCGAGCTCTTCTAATGCTAGAAGTCCTTATTGCAGGAAGTTTCAAATTATCAAAAATCTTTCTTCTAACACCAATGTTGTGGCCCTTGTCTTTCGTAACTACCAACATTAATGTTATAACTTCAAAAATACAATATTTCTTTACAACCCTCTGTAGTTTACAATCAAAAATTACACATATAGCAAAAATAACAATAATCAAATAATAAATAATATAGCGCAATTTGATCATTCTGGCGATTATAACAATTTTATTAAACATCATCATCACCATCATCATTATTATCATCACCGTCATCATTATCATCATCACCCTTCATCATCATCATTATTATCACCTTTTTTATTATCATCACAGCCATCATCACCACCGTCATCATATTTTCATCAGCTTGCTTCATCCAGAATAATCAGTCGTTTTCCACTTGGGATAGAGATAATGATGGGTTGCAGACAAATTGTGCGATGTATTACAAAGGTTCGAATTGATGTTTTGTCTCTTTCCGTGTTCCTGTTCATATGTGTTTTTGTGTTTGGTATTTATTTCATAAAAGTTTATATTGTGTTAAAAATTTTCCGTTTATTCATTCATTCGTTCATTCATTCGTTTGTTCGTACATTAATTCATTCTATCACTCATTCATAAATTTACCCATCTTTCAATCCACTCATCCATTCATCTATTCATTAAAAAATAAATATAAGGAGCTTGGTGGTACTACGACTGCCACTTCAGTAATTTCAACGGCTTCTATTACGCCGGTGGCTACCACAGCTCGTTCGCTGATGGCTTGGATTGGCTACAATTTAAAGGGTACTACGAATCGATGAGGATGACCTGGATGATGATTATGAAAAGTGGATAATGGTGATGATGAGGATGGTAAGGATGATGTGGATGGTGATGAGAATGATGGTGATGACGAAAATTAGTGAATGTTATAATAATAATAATTATTATAGGTAATATAATTGGGTGCAATTATAATGATTATATTTTCAAAAGATGATTTAATTTTTACGTAGATGATGTTGATACTGATAATAATGCTGATAATGATAAGAATTTTATTTGCGAGGATGAGGAAGATGATGATGATGATAATGGTAATGATGATGATGATGGTTGTGGTCTAAACAACAATATATACATGTTTTTGAATAAGTATTAACAATATATTTTGTGATGGTCTATCATAAGATCTTTTCTTTTTTGATCTCCGTATTATTTTCATTTCTTACAATTGTTTGATTTGAATTGATGAATAAGTAAAATATTAAATATATTTTGTAAAACAACAAAAAATATTTTTTTGAAAAGTCTCTTCAGAAATGAGTCAGTTTTTCACCAATACATACAATTAGCTGCGACCAATACAATGGGCCGCAACTCCACAATTGATTTCGTTCGTTTTGACACCTTGACTGGTTAGATTTGCACATGGGCGTCATTCCAGGTTTTAAATAAATAGGGGAAGTACAAACTTATTGTATTGCAGAATTGTATTGCCGAATTTGTATAGCGCCTTTTGTGAGTTGACTTCAGAAGCGCTCTCTACTTTCTTCGTTGTTGAATGTTGAAAAAATGAGTCTTTAGCCGTTTTTTGAATTCATTTCGACTCATGATGTTGAAATTCTTTAGATCAGCAGGCAACGCATTCCAAATCTAGGCAGATGCTACTGAAAATCTTCTTTTTCCAAAATGAGAAGATACGAACTTAGGAATGTGTAGGTCACCGCGACTTGATGATCGTAGTCGACCCCTATATTGAATCTCTGATACTAAATGAATCTGCTTCCTCAGGTAAATTGGTGCATCTCCAGTCAAACAATCTTTTACAAGTAGAGCTAGTTTGAATGTTACTCTTTCTGGCATGCGAAGCCAGTGCAGTTCATTTCTAATGAATTGGTAGATAGGATCAAACCTTGATATGCCAGCAACCAGTCTAGCAGCGGCGTTCAAAACTGATTGAACATTATCTTGTAGCAAAAGGTTGATCCTATACATCATCACGTTACAAAAATCAATTCTATTACAACTAAAACTGCAAACAAGAGCTTTTGTGGAGTCAACTGTCAAATATCGTCTGATGGCTTTTAGTTTTTGTAGCTTGAAAAAACATTTCTTGCATAATTTATTTATATGAGACTTTATTGAAAGGTCTGAATCCATAACCACACCTAGATTTGTCACTGGATCTTTAAACCCGTCAACCTGAATGAGTTTATGAGGTGTCCCTAGCCACATGTATTGCGTTTTGTTGATATTTAGCTTTAATTTATTTGCTGTCGTCCATTCTCCTACTGCTTTTACAGCATCCGTGACAGCTGTAGAGAGTTGATAGGACAAGCTCGCAGACCCAGATCCGTATAGTTGAATGTTGTCAGCGTACAAATGGCAACGATCACCTGATGATTTCACAACGCTGACTACATCGGCAGTGTATATAACAGAGGGCCAAGGACGGAGCCCTGTGGAACACCATAGGTAATCTCTGACGTAGCTGTGTCTGCACCTTCCCCAACGTTGACAACCTGTATTCTGTCTATCAAATAGGACTGAAACCAGCTAAGTGCATCCCCTGTTACACCATATGAGACTGAGAGTCTTTCTAGCAAAATATCATGATCAACATTATCAAAGGCAGCACTAACATCCAGCAGTGCAAGCATGGCTATATTGCCCATGTCAACTGCATCACATACATCAGAAATCACTTTGAATATCGCCGTTTCGGTAGTGTGAGCTTGAAAAAAAAACCTGACTGAACTTTTGGCACTAATAAAGTTTTGTATTTTTCTTCAGGTATGAAAGAAGTTGACGAGCGAATATTTTTTCTATAATCTTTGATATAAATGTTAGGTTCGATATCGGTCTATAGTTGTTGACAGCATCAGGTGTGAGACCAGAATTTTTTAATTTTGATCTTACTATAGCCGTTTTCTGAGATCTTGGCATGATTGACATATGGATGGAGCTGTTGACCAGGTAGCACAAAAATTGCAAGAGCAAGTCCAATTGTTTTTTTAGAAAAAATGTTGGGAGCGGATCAAGACTTCATGATTTCCCATTTGACGATTGAATTAGTTTTTTTAAATCTTCAGTAGAGATAGGTTTAAAGTGGTCGAGCCGATGTTGAGTTGTTGTGAAAACCGGGAGACAGTCATCTTCAAATAGACAGCCACCTTCAAATGAGACAGCCATCTTCAAATGGCCTATATGGCCTATGATTAGTTACATATTTTTGAATTATGCATTTACAACTGCACCAGAAAAAAATATCTATATCTTGGGGGGTTTAAAAATTTTAGCTATTCAGGACATTACCTGACAAACAAAGATAACAAACTTTTTATACAAAACACAGGTATAAAATCTAAGATACGTTTGCAAAACTTTTTTTTTAGTGAATCCTGGTCCTCCTATTATATATTTCTGGCTACAACTCAGGTGACGTAATACGTTTTGAGAAAATAAAAATTAATTTGATGAAAACATGAATGGAAAATTTTTGAATGCATGGTTTGTATGCATGCCGTGGAGACTTGTTATCTCATTGACTCTCTTCTTTATTCAAATCATTTCCTGCTCAATAGTTTTGCTAATGAGGTGAATTTTTCAATAATAATGATGACTAAAAGCGTTCGTTGCATGCAAACACACACACAGGCACACAAATACACATACACAACTTAACACATACACTCACACACAAACTAACATATCAGCAATTAACAATATATTGGCTCAAAAACTGAGCTAGTTCGGTTAGTTTTCCAATTTGGCCAAGTTGCTTTTAAACATGTTTATCGATTCTGCTGACACTGAATCATTATTCAAGCTATTTTAGTGATTAACAACTCTCTTGCTGAAAAAGTTATATTTCATTGGTTCAGTTTTTTTTTGAAAAGCCTTAAAATTCAGTTAATAACTGATTTACTACTTATCGCTAGTTTGAACTTGAACTTAACTGATAGGTGGTTCAACTGCGGCGCTTGATGACATCAGACCGATGGGGAAGTTTGACAAACGTAACATAACGAAAAAAGTTGAAGAATCTGGTCAAAACCGCGACCTCATACCCACTGTTATTTTCGATGAAGATCTAGGTCGTCGATGCGCACAACAACGATACGAGTATCGTTTGACGTTGGATGCATTCAAACCGACTAATACGCCTTTTTTTACCTGACGTCCTGAAACAACAGTCGTTACGTCGCTGGCCTCACTATTTGATATTTAATATTAATACTGTTGTACACATGTGTATACACATGTATCATGCATATTTTTCTTACTTTCCTACACATGTACAAGTACATCACTTATATTCATTTCGATAATATACATTCATACTGTTGGTTCAACTAAATACAATAAGAAACAATAAAACTGCATACCGCGTGCAAGTTCCATGCATACACTCGTTTTATCTTGTAAAATTTTTTACCTACTGCCGTATTATTTTAAATTATTTTAATTGTTTTACGTAAATATGTATCCATTTATTTATTTTAATATTAAACTATAACTTGTTTCACTAATTATTCAATTTCATCTGCATTACAAGGTAACAGTTTGCTTTTAACGTAACTCTTCAAATTATTTATTCATAAATATAAATATAATTATAAACATAAATAAATAATGGGCTTAAGCGTATGTTATATATGCCAATATCAAAATAGCACTAAAAGACAACAAAAAGCAATCAAACAACAATGTCAATTTTATGATCATGTAGAAAATCTTCGTTGGCCATATATAAGTCAAAATTCTTCTTGAAGTTGGAAACAACGCATGACGGTAAATTGTTCCAAATAGAGATCACTCTGTTAGAAAACGAATTCTTTCTTGTATTTGTATGGAATTTTTGAACATGTATTCTATAGCGATGTCATCTGGTACGTGGATCCGCTTCAAAACACAAAGTTGGCGAGGAATCTCTATGTACCATACCCTTTGCAATGTTGAAAATCATTAATATGTCTCCACAAATTTTTTTAAATTTTAAAGTTAGTAAGCCAAGAAACTTCAATCGATCCGAGTAACAAAGGCCTTTGCAATCCTTGACCATCTTGGTTGCCCTTTTCTCAACCCTTTCCAAATCGTCAATTTCTATTATTTTCCAAGGAGACCGTACACTGACACCATACTCTGACTTTGACCTAATTAAAGATTCATAAATTGAAATAAATGACTCTTTAGTTAAATTTTTAAAGTTTCTGTATAACAATCCTTAAAGAACAAAACATTTATTAATGACATTATGTATATACTTAGAAAAGCTCAGTGAACGTTCAAACAAAACCCCCAAATCGTTTACTTCACCACAAAAATCCAAGTTAGAATTATTAATATTATAACACCAATTATTATCCAAACATAAATGACCAAATTTTATAGCTGCACACTTTTCAATATTCAAATCGATTTTCCATAACATACACCAATCATACAATTTATCAAGATGTTTTTGTAGCACTATTCTATCACCACACATCTTATAAAATTAAACATTTAATACTTATTAAATATCTGTAGATAGAAGATCTGTTCTGTAGTTCTCGTGAAAGACCGTGAACAGTTGACGGAATTGCATCCCTGCTGATCAAAACAGCGCAAAAGTTCCAACGTTTAATATTTACAGGCACACCTCTAGCTGGAAACCACGCCAGCAACTTTGATTATTTACTATGTGCAAATAAAACTTTCCAATTAAATGCCTTAGGAAGTACGATTTAATTTATGATACGATTTAATTTATGAAACGTTCAAACAAAAAATTTTCAAATCGATCAGCTAGAATTTAATCTATTTTTCATATGAGAAATTTTTCGATTCGAAAAATAATAATTTTTCTAATTCTCTAGTGGTCGACAACGGAACAACGCGGAACAACACGTGAAACCAAGCGTCGCATCACGTGGTAAGTTTGGGACTATTTGCACTAGAGCCCCAAGCAGAAAAGATTTTTATAAACCGCAACCACTCGCATCCGCAAAGTTCACGTCCGCAACCGCCCACATTCGCACTGCTCATAATCCGCAGCCGCGAAAAGACAACCTAAATCGGCCGTCTTAATCTCATGTTTAAAATTAGAAGATAGCAACACTAGAAAGTAATCTATTTACAATTTAATTATAATCAGACAGCAGATGATCTCAATAAATTTTTTATCTTACAACTTAAAAAATTTCAAATTAAAAACAACAAACACAAAATGAACGACGACGAGGAAGTTGAAGAAGCAATTTATTTATTTATTTATCATATGTTATCCTTGCTGATACTTTAAACAGTCTGTACTAGAATCAAATTCAGAAGATGTGTATGATGTTGCACATATATTGCTTGTTGGGCATTTTTCTTGATTCGGGCTTGGACATCGGAGTGTGTACCTCCCATAACTGAGGCTCCACCGTAACAATGAGCGATTAGGTGGTTCCAGTTTGCCTAATTTCAGCAGTAATATAAATGATAGACGATGTTAGATGGAAAGCATTGACAGGATGCATGTTATACGCTCCAAGTGGTTTTCCATTGATGACACTAATATCAACATATCTTATGAAGTAACTGAGCTGTTTCTTCTCGGATGCGTCTATAGTTTCATCAACAAGTATTGAACAATACCTGACCTTTTTTATTATATAAGGTCGGGACTGTTGCGATGGACGATAATTATATCATTTTGGTATTCGGTAAAGATCCTACTCCTCATTAAGAAGATCTAACAAATCATACAGAAAATTAACGGTGCTGGTTTTGGTCCTGTTGCAGTTGTAGAGTTGGTTGCTGGAGCCGATATATGCACTGCACATATTTTCTTCCTGTTTAGTTGTTGAGATTGGTAGTTTCTCACTTGGATAAAAGTCGTCTCCTCAGTTTTTTTTCACTCACTCTACGGTTCTGAAACCAGTACTTAACCTGACGACTAGTCAGTCTGGTTTCATTTACAATTCGCTCCCTATCAATGCGATTGATATATTGGTTTTGGCTAAATTCCCGTTCCAAAACATTAAGTATTTCAACGCTGTAACCCTCACGGTAAAATTTATCTGTGCGAATCATATCTTTCGCTTTCTTTTTTGTCTTAGTTTTTTCTTTTTTATTCTCAACATTTAAATCAATTGGGAGATCTTTCGGAAGAAGAGGTAGCAAACCTTCTGGAAAATGTTGCAAATCTTCTGGAAGATTTAACAAATCTTCCACGTGATCCAACAAATCTTCTGGAACATCTAGCAAATAGTCCGGAAGATCTAACAAGTCTTCCGGAAAAATCATTTCACTAGGATCTGGTAGCTCCTGCAGTTTTGTAGGTTGTTTATTCGTTGCCACCATCAGTTGTTTCTCAGGCAAATTGATGGTGATGGGCCCTGGTGCCTTTTTAGTAAATTTAGGCAAGATGATTACTTTTTTCTGCGACATCGAACGTTGTTCATTCATATTAGAAATTTTCTGTAGAGATTCTAGCGACAGGAAACTCTTTGCAATGTGGAAAAATATTTCAAATTACTTTTACAGAGGAGTCAAATTGTTATTCAATAATTTACTTCAATTATAGTTACAACTTTTATAGGACAAATTAGTCCATAGAATCATTACTTTGATGTTTTACAATTTTGCTTGTAATATTTACTGTCTTTGTCATCTGCAATGTAGTATCATTTCTCTTGTTAAACTTTTTCAATAGAATTTTATGATTGAGTCGATATTTTATTTTTTACAAAGCGTATTGTTCATCTTGAACATTTTAATTTTTCAATATGTTTTCGATTTGGTTGAAATAAAATTTTTAAAAATCGAAAAAAATTTTCAACTCCTTCGTTCATAGAATTACTTTGCTAAGACTTGCTACGCGTCACACACGCGAAACAGTTTGTTCCGCGTAGTGCCTGGGTTTCGTTCTAACCAAGAATGTACAAACAACTTTGATTATTTACTATGTGCAAATAAAACTTTTTAATTAAATGCCTCAATAAGTACGATTTAATTTTTGAAATGTTTAAACAAAAAACTTTCAAATCGATCACCTAGAATTTAATCAATTTTTCATATGAAATATTATTTTTCGAATTCTCTAGTTGTCGACAACCGAACAACGCGGAACAACACGTGAATCCAAGCGTTGCATTACGTGGTAAGTTTGGGACTATTTGCACTAGAGTTCCATGTATATTCATCTGTTATGAGGGGCTTCTTTTAAATTTTCATTTTAAATTTAAAATCTTTCTAAGTAAGAACTAAGCTTTGGTTTTGTTAAAGAGCAATTATTATATTAAATTTAAAATGACAAACTCCAATCTATACATTCAAGTGGTTTTTCCAAACCTTTCTATCTCAAATTGATAAAAACTTGATACAGGAAGAAATAATCATATACTTAAAATAGTTACTTATACAATATTCTTCATTCTATATATATATATGCTTATACTTATTATTGCCATTATCTATATGTGCTTCATTGAAGACATTTTCAAATATAAAAAACAATGTCCAATACATAACATAACATTTAAATAATGAGCGTATATTAAAATCCATGTGCTCATATCTAATATGTGATAATAATTTAAATGTCCAAAAAACAATAATAATATGAAATAGTTTCAAAGAAATAATAAAAAAAAAATAAAAAAAAAATACCATAATATTAACAACAACAACAAAAGTAAACTACAATACCATTTCGATAACAAAATAATCGAATAAAAATAAATGCAATATGTGTCTGTCTATCAATCCCTCGTACAAGTGGCTTTCTGAAAATTACAATCTCGATTTGATAAAAACATGATACAGAAAGAAATAATCATAAATAATCATACACTTAGTAAAAAAAATAAACCGTAATGACCGCACACCTTCAATGCATACTGACTCTAGCGCCGGCAAAAATTTGACTAACCAGAATGATATTTAAATCGTGCTGGATTGTTGTTATTCTTACAACAATCACTTCATTGTTACCAATAATACCAATCTATTTGTTAGCCAAACAAATGCATGTGTTTTGCTTACATTAAATTCAATCATTATTTGCCATTTACTTCATTTATTTAAGTTCCTTGGATTTAAATATTGTTAAAAATATTAGAGTTGCAGATTTATCTTCCAGTTTCGTTACCAAGAATTATTTAGTTTAATTTCAACATGATACATTTTTTAATTATGACTGATAAATATTTTAAATTCTAGAAACCAATGTGAATATAAAATAATTATCTTTCAGAGGCATTAACAACAAACACACATTGCATGTAAATACACGTCCAAGATTTGATGCTTAACGTAATGTCATCCAGTATAGTATGTTTTTACCTTATCATATAAACAGTTTGGCAAAATTTTTCATAAAGTTGAAACAATAAAAAAACGAAATCATTTCTACCACATTTTATGGAACTTTATAAAAAGTTTGATTCTTGTCAATAAAATTGATAAAAAATTGATAAAAAATTTAATACTAATTATTATCAATGTAAAGAATGCATATCAAGGAAAATAATCAGATGACAGCAACAACATTAGTAATGACAGAAAAAATATAATAAAAAAATATAAAGTACAAATAAATAATAATGACATCATAGCTTTCTAAAAATCATGAAATTATAATGGTGACATCATCCTTCACATAGCGCATTATTGACAAAAGGTGAGAAGATCCACAAAGAAGGAAATGTTTCTTCAATAGGGTCTGTAACGAGATCCCCCTCTTGACCTGTTGCTACCTCTGCTTCTGTAGGCTGGGTACTGTGGCTGTTGTTCCATGTATGAATCGAACCTTGGCACAGGTGTTGGGATGTGCTGTGCTGTAACTAAATAGCGACCTCTTCCTGCCATTGGACCACCCCTTGACCTTATACCTCTCCCTCTCGATTTTTTGTCTGTAGTTGACAGACCATGTATGTTGGTTCTCTTCGCGGTGACTTTAATTTGTTTTCCGCAAAACAGTGACTCATTCAATTTCAGGGCTAAGTCAATAGACACAACGTCCGTAAACTCAATGTATGCAAAGCCCTTAGATTTGCCGCTAAATTTGTCACGTAGAATTTTTGTTCTCATGATGACACCACATTGTTCAAAGTGTTTGTTCAAACCATCCAATGTAGCCCCATAGTCATAATCATGTATGTATGTGTTGACGACTTGATGACTTTGCTTAGAATTAACGAACATTTTGTCGGCCAGCAAAAAAGATGCTTTGTTTGATTTGTACTACTTTTTATTTATTAATAGATGGAACACCTTTTAAAAAGCAAGGAGTGTTCAACAAACTAGTTCATAAAATTAAATTTTTTTGAATATCCGCTCACTGAAAATGGCTGAAGTGACAATTGATTTGTTAGATGCCGACACATTCACACAAGATCATGTCAATTGATATCAATTTGGAGTACACAGCAAAATTTTTAAAGAATTTAATTCACAGACGAAAAAAATTGTGCATAAAATATCTAAGTGATAACTTCGACGATCATCGCCTGAGCAACGAGTCTGTCCGGAAGATTTTAAGAAAGGCTCCTTTCTGTTCCAGCTTCCCTGCCGACATTCCCTGCATTGCTTCTATCCTTCTTCGTCAGATATCTCTCTAGAAAATTGAAACCTTAATCATCCTACTTGTCCACTGTGCAGGTAGGAATTTTGGAACTGTATGGGGAAAAAATATATTTGATAAAAAAAGACAAGTGACGATGGACGAGATATTATGGATATTTATCTCAAAACAAACGAATGTAAAACACCTCCTGTTGACTGAAGCATTAACGATTTGAAGTTCCGGTAGAATAAACTTAATGGAATTCACTTTTACCAGCGTTTCTTAATTTTGAATCTGTATTGTGTGTGTGTGTATGCATGTGTGTGTGAGTGTGTTTTTGTTTGTTTTTGTTTTGTTCACAGTCCAATCAAATTAGTGCTTTAAATTAAAAATTTTATCAATTTTTATATCCATGTGCATGTTTAAAACATGCCCGTACAATTTTATTTATTTATAATTTAGACAACATTTATAAAGCTAAGTAATTCGGCGACCAAGGAACCCCTCCGTGGTTACGCTTCTGACATTGTCCAGATAACACCAAACTACTATTTTCGGTCTACCTAAATTAGGCACTTGATAAACTACGCAAATTAAAACTATATTTATGACTAAAAATAGACTTTGAAAAATATCCCCAGAAAACCGAAAGAACGCGAAGTGTTAGTATTTTTAGAGGTCACCACATTCTACTGTTTATTGAAATTTTTATAATTAATAATAACGAATAAATTATCAATTAAATTAATAAATTAATTATCAAATCTGATCTATAATGAAATTTAAAATGCAATTAAAACATTATTAACTAAAACAGACTAAAATTAGATTTCATCAACAGTTTTAGAGCATGTTAGAATTTGAAATTTTTTATTTTATAAACAATATTGGTGAATATATAAATTAATTATCATTAATAATCGATAAAATAATATATAATTGTCAGGTTTCTCTCTCAAATTGTATATCAAAAACAACAAGACTGATTGATTTTCAAAATTCACTTACTCTTGAAACTGAACAGCCAAACACAAAGTTATATAATATTGAAAGTAGCCAATGTCTAAAATGTTAATAACTCAAAGTTTTAACGTTCATTTATGACGATATAACGCTAAATAAAGCAACGCAACCAACATAAAGCAACGCATTCAACGCAAATCACACAAAGTGACAACATTAACGACCCTATGCATTCAACTCGCTCAACTACATACTTTTAAAACAACAACGAACAACGTGCCCGCCTGCACACCTGTTGTACGGCTCTCCACTATATTCACAGCTAGAATTTCCACATAACATTCGTATCTGCACTCATACTAGAATCAAATATATATACAGTTCGTTTATCACAATTCAAGTGCATATATAACCCTATAGGTATATTATAAAATTTGAAGTTGATCTTAAGTATGAAATTAATTATGTTTCGTTTGTGTACTTCAGCCTCGTATTTCAATACTTATTAGAAGATCTCTCCATAAAGATATTGCTCAATGTATGGTACATCGAACCTCATCTCAAGGAAGTATCTTGCACATGTGAGACGCTCTGCTGGGAAACGTCTGATGGCTGTAGCTATATACAAGTTTTGGACACTCCTACGTAACAAAAAATCGTTCACTTCAGTTTGCTACGACTACTCAGACGTGAAACTAACATAAATTAATAACATTTCTTCGTATCCTCTAGCTAAGGAGTTGGTTAACATTACAGAACACGTTGAAGTACGTAGTCGCCTCCTTCCATCATATCATGCTTCAAAAATTGTTGTCACATATTTTTTCTTTAATTCATGCTTTTAACAAATTTAGTTTTTGTAAATTATGTTTTTATACCCATTTAATTGCGGCTTACAACAAATTTCAAATTTTAAAATGGCTCCGAGTTTCTTTTGTAATGTTTTGAAATACACGTTATATAATATAAATACTCGAACGTATGTAATTAAAAAAAACAAATCTAACTCATGTGCATGTAGGTAGGGTTGCTTTATTATTTGTTGTTTTCAATAACCGCTAGTAATTTGTTACAACAAATTACTGAAGAAGAAAAAATTGAAAAATAAACACAACATTTTTTGTGAGTACATTATTATTATTATTTATTATTATTATAAAGCCCATTTTGAACTGTTATAGCATTAAAGAAGTGAACTCTACAGCTGTTACCACATAACAATTATGATGAATTTCATCATCTTCATCATCGTCCCTACCCGCAACGTCATCATCATCTTCGCCATCATCCTTTTCATCGTCAAACTTGTGTACGTGCGTGAAAAGCGCCTGAATGTGTGTCCATGTGTGTGTGTGTGTGTGTGTGTGTGCACGCGCGTTTGAATAAAATTTAAAAATAGAATTTAATAAATAAAGCAGCTGTAATTGCGCTCGTAGGCCTATTATTTAAATTAACAAAGGTGTGCTGATTGATTCAGTGATTGATTGTTAACAGCTAGCAAAAAAAATTAAGAAGGCTTTTCAAAACCAACAAAATAGACAGAAAGATTAAAAAAATGAAAAAAAGAAAATAAAATGAAATCAAGAAGAAAGGAACGACTTTATCATTATTTATTATTATTAATAAATTTCATGGACACCCAGAAAAAGATTTAAGCAGTGCAGACGGGGAGGCTATTGCCCAGCCTGCTACGAAAGGACCTCCGTCCACATGGAAGATGATTTCTTCTGTAGAGTGCTTGTAGAAGATAGAGAGATGGTTTAAAATTGATGTGGAATATGCATAATTGAAATCGTGAAAATTAACACAACGTTCAGGGCTTCCAGTAAATATTAATGGGCCTCCATTATTCCGTTGTCTCAGGGCCTTCATCTACTTCTAAAAACCGGCCCTATGTATACCTCATTGAACAATTTGTGTAGGAGATTGTTAAGGATTGGCATGCATGATCATCATCTGAAGTTATTGAGGACATCTGCACAAATTTTTTAATCAACGTTAATCATTCAGAATTGATTTTTGAATGAAATTTATGTGCTTCAACGATTGAAAAGTTCAAAACCTCAATAAAAGGATCATACATCATCCGAATCTACGCCATCGTCCACATCATCACCACGCAGTTCGTTGCGCTGTTCACAATCGTTGCCTAAAATTATAATATGTTTCTAATATTTAAATTTATTTAAAATATAATTTTTAATACGTCTGCCAAACTTTTAAAACCAACTCTAACCAGATGCCTATTGTGACAACAGCCTAACACAAATCGAAAAATTTGTTGAAACTCAAACATTATCTTTGTTATGTCTGAAATATAACAAAAAAAGTTGTTTTTCGAACTTTCAAACCATACCAACCTCATTATCTCTATCATATCTTCATCATCATTTTCATCATCTTCATCATCATCTTCATCATCATCTTCATCATCTTCATCATCGTCGTCAACTTGTCTACATGAATGCAACTTGTAACTTAAAATATTAATTGAGGCTTTTCTGAATTTAAATATTCATTCATTCATTCAGTTATTAAAATTTTCAAAATTATGTTTTTAATTGTCAAAAAATTGAAAAAAAAATTAATTAGCATCAATATATTCCTAAATAACATTTTTTTATATTCGTTGATTTTATTAAAACGTTGCAAAATGTTAATGAGCGCGTTTCTTCCTAGCCATAATTTGACCACGTTTACTCAGCCAATGTAGGTTCATTAAACAATCATGTGTGTGTATGTGTATACGTGTGTGAATCATTTAAACATGTATATATATCGAGGCAGCAGTTGTGTGGATGTTTCAATCATTAGTTTGAACTGCTCAATAAAGATATTGTCAGTTGGTCTTTGCAAGATGCTCTTTCTCGTCCTCTTCATGTTGCTGGCTCAAAAAGGCTCTGCCAGTTAGTTCTTCCTTTCTACTTTGCTGTCTTCTTCGATATTGATTGTTGCGCTTTGGAAAGTTCCACAAATTTGTAAGATTTTTCAATGTTTTGGATTGTGTTTATATTTTCATGCATCTTTGGAGTCCAACTCTTAGCCCTCAAGGAACTCCGACAAAATATGTTCAACTCTAACGTTTTATCTTATTTTCACAACACTAAAAAAAGTACTCTGTAAATTTGTTTTTTTATTTTTTGGATCATACTGACATAAAGCGTGATTTTACACCACACAAGTCATAACTAGTTTCTGGTTTACCTTAAATAAAATTGTGAAATTGTAAAAATATGATATCCTGTTAAAATAAAACTGTTAAAGTTGAATTCATTAACACAGAAAGTTGTCCAAATAGATTTTGGAATTTGTCGGGAAAGATGTGTGAAGGTTAAAGGAAAAACTATGCAATATGAGAGTGCACAGAGTTTTTTTCGTCAATTGAATTCTAGCTTGGCAATCGTCAATACAAATGAATTTGAAGATAACTTATTCTTTTTCCTGAAATCAAATTTCAATCGTCAGTGTTTAAAAATCTTCTTCATAATAAATAATAATTTATTTAATTTATTAAATAATAATTTATTTAATAAAATTGTTATTGTAACAAATTAAACAGGGGAAAGCACTAATATTGGTTTTTGGACAGCTGGTCGCAAAATATATGAAACAGAATTATTCTATTGGAACAGTTCCATGTCATCCTCAGGGGCAAACGTTGTCATAACAAATTGGGATGAAGAAGAGCCGAATAATGTGAAAAACCGTGGAAATTGCGTGCAATTGATTGTGAAAAATGGAAAATTAGTTCCTAATGATAATAATTGCTTCATGAAACTTTATGTTCTTTGCGAAGCAGAGCTAGTTTAAAAACTTAATTTCATTTAATTCCTATCAACGGTTAAAATAATGGATGCGAAAATTTATTTACCAAATCGCACATAGAAATTTAAGAGGAATTGTAATTTGTCTAACTCAAGGGGATGCCTATTTACCAATATACAGCACTTTCTTATGGGTTGAAGCAGGGATATTATTATGTAGATGGTTGTTATATACGTCAGTCGTGATAATTAATAATTGATAATCAGATTGTGTATGTCAGCGTGTTTCTGTTTCTATGTGTGTTAGTCTTTGTATGTGTGTGTGTGTTTGTGTGTTGATTGATTTACATGATAACATTTATTTAAGCCCACGTTGAATGTTGAGCGAGGACGAAGACAGTTTTCAACAAAACTTAATCTTCCATGTTGTACAAAATAGGATTGAAATGAAAGTATAGTATGTGCCCGCATGGTAAACCAACCGTCAAAAACAGACGCAAAATTTTTATAACAAACTGGTTCGAGTACATTACATGTTCAAAGTAGCCAATAACTGACAAGTGGCAAACCAAATCAACTTCGTTCTATCAAAATTATGGAGTGGGTAGTCAGAATAGAACCAAAGAACTTATGTGTGTTGTCAATGTAAATACGCAGAGATAAATTAAGATCCTTTAATGAATTCAGAAAAAAAGCCATGTGGACGGAAAAGACAAAAGAGCCCAAAACTGACACTTGAGGAACCCTCGCTGACCAGCAAATCCAAAACCAAACCAAATCAACTTCGTTCTATCAAAATTATGGAGTGGGTAGTCAGAATAGAACCAAAGAACTTATGTGTGTTGTCAATGTAAATACGCAGAGATAAATTAAGATCCTTTAATGAATTCAGAAAAAAAGCCATGTGGACGGAAAAGACAAAAGAGCCCAAAACTGACACTTGAGGAACCCTCGCTGACCAGCAAACTTTTGAAAACAAACTATTCCTGAGCATAATGTGTTGTTTATTGAGTGGAGACGTTGTCCTTAATTCCGTAAGTTACCTCCAAACTATTTTAATAGCATAAATATATCAGCTTTATTGAATGCAGCACGTAAATACAGCATGACAAGCAGCACCACCTGCATGTTGTTAATAACCTCATTAAAAACTTATAGTAATTCTGTCTCCATAGAGTTATATGAACGAGCTGCATGAACTTTTTGCAGCAAATTTGTTATTTATGATTTTCTAGTTTGTGATTGAAAAATGATGGCTGTAAGAAAACAAGACTAGAATTTATTGTAATTTAAAACAACATTATTTGCATTATATTAGAATGATTTTTTTACCATGGTCAAAGATTGTGGTGTAAAAAATATAGTAAGGTAACAGAAATTGATATATGCAATTTAACAAAAAATTTACCTCCAAATATGTCTTAAATTTTCCAGCCTTCGTTGAATCAACATAAAGATCAAAAGTTTGGAAATCGTACGATGAATAGTTTGGTATATTCAGTTTGCATAGGTTCACACCTCTTCTACCCCAGCAATCGTATTCGTTCAGGTTCTGAACATCATCGTAGCCCCATGATATGAGGCTCATATAGAAAAGCTCAACTGAAATGATCATTTAACAAGTTTTATATAATTTTTACATGTTTTTATATGTACGATTACCTTTTTTAAAATAAACTTTTTATTTTTAAATTTCAAAACTAAATTTGTGTAAATTTTCATTACAGTTACTGTTACTGGCCAAATACAAGGAGCAGTTTTCATGAAGGTTAGAGAAGGTTTGTTCAGGTATTATTACATTGAATTGATGACAATGAATATCGTATACCTCAACAACACTCACAGATTTTTCAAAACTCGTTTAAAAGGCAAAACAAGAAATGATCGACGATTGACACTGAACGGCACATTTTTTTGCAAACAAATCCTTCGTTCCCTGGTTCAACTGCACGCTTTTCTGAGTTAAAATTAAATTTCCGTTTGGTGATTCGAAACATAGAGGCGTTGTTTTCAACATTAGCTTGTGATAGATGCGACTGTTTATTCAATCGATTTTTTTGAAGACGATGATGATTGTGATAATGTTTGTTGTTGACGATAAATAAATATCTATCTATTGTTATAACCGTGCTACCGAACGCACTAGATTCTAACGTATTCTAGAATGTTTTAGTGACTGGAGCATTGTAGAGTATGCTAGAATCGGACCATCTGGAAGAATCTAGAAACGACGCTTGCGAAGAGTGTATAAGCGCACGTCGCAAGAAGATTAGCGATTAGTGAAATCCGTGGTTAGTGAAATTCGTGATTTTGCAAATTCGTGACTTTGTGATTTTGTGAATAGCGATTCGGTGAATTATTTAAAGCGATATTTGATTTGTTTTGTTGACGTTGTCATAACGATAGATTTTGAACAATTTAAAAGTTAATTGTTGCGTTAATTTGAATTTGCCAGAAATAAACGATTAGTTGATTTCTTCTGTAAATAAAGTTTATTAACTAATAACTGTTATAACAATATCATTAGATGTCAATTTCTAATTTTTGCCATCTTTGTGTTGATCGTGCAAAAAACATACATTATTCAATTATTTCAAAAAATGTTGTCATTGCAATATCTTCTTCTGCTGCATGTACGTACACCCACTAAATTTAAGGAATGGTCATTAAAAATCAGAAAAAGTGCTAAAAAACTCAATTCCTTTAAACGTTCGCTGACATCCTTTTATGACCAGGCATAATATAACATACGAATACTGTATCAATCAATCATTGTGTTAACTATTATTAGCCTAACGTTCAGTTGTACGGTTTTACTTCGTAAGTTTTTCATAGAGTTCGTATATAAATTCGTACGTTCCTTTCTTCGTACTTCAGTTTTAGTACTTAACTGGCATTTATTTATTGGTATTGGCCGTAGGATTGTGTCAATGAGTGTCAGCGTGAGCTACAAAAAGACGGCGTTAACAATCTCAAGGTAGGAAAAACCTTTAGGTTTGCGATGTCTATTAAGTTTTTTTGGTTTGTGTTATTATGAAAAATGTATGTAAAATCATAAAGTCTTGCAGTTGAAAATTTTTTCATTATTATTGTTATTATGTTATCATGTAAATAAATTTTATTGAATGAAAGTTAAATCGGGGAGGTATAAGATTCACAAGTCTTCACATGCGCCGTGTTCTTGTGTGTGTATGTGTGTGCGTTCATCATGACCAACAAAGAACAACAATAAACTTTAACAGTAAATAATTGAATTAATGCAAAGTCGTGACGTCGTAAAGCAGCAGGTAAAGCAAAGAACTTCATGCAACAAAGAAATGCAAAGTTGATTTGCGAATGTATTTAACTCGAGGGTCAGGTTGGTCATGTACCAAAACCTAATTTACGGTGCTCTGATAACAACTAATGCGAATAACACAAATTATTTAAAATATAAATTTCTCGCTACTATACAACATTTTCCAAGATAAAAATGTCATCTGACAAGGAGTTTGGAAATAACCATGTTATCAGTGAACTAGCTAGATGTTTAGAGTTGACTTCACTAGCACATGGTGAGTTCACGGATGTTGCAGTTGGAGGTGCAAAAGAGGCAAACACCGATTTCGAAGATGCCGAGATGCAAGAAATGAGAAAAAAGATCCAAAAGATGAGAGAAGAAAGGAGAGAATGTGAAAACCTCAAAAAAATGTTCGTTACGAATACAACTCCAACCGCTTCATCGGCCACATCTGAAGTCGACGGACGATCCATATGGGTCGGCAACGTAGACTATGGGGCTACATTGGAGGGTTTGAATAAACACTTTGAGCAGTGTGGTCTCATTATAAGAACAAAAATTCTACGTGACAAATTTAGCGGCAAGTCTAAGGGCTTTGCATACATTGAGTTTTCGGACGTTGTGTCTATTGACTTAGCCCTAAAACTGAATGAGTCACTGTTTTGCGGAAGACAAATAAAAGTCACCGCAAAGAGAACCAACATATATGGTCTGTCAACTACAGACAGAAAACCGAGAGGGAGAGGTATAAGGCCAAGGGGTGGTCCAATGGCAGGAAGAGGTCGCTATTTAGTTACAGCACAGCACATCCCAACACCTGTGCCAAGGTTCGAATCATACATGGAACAACAGCCACAGTGCCCAGCCTACAGAAGCAGAGGTAACAACAGGTCAAGAGGGGGATCTCGTTACAGACCCTATTGAAGAAACATTTCCTTCTTTGTGGATTTTCTCACCTTTTGTCAATAATTTGCTATGTGAAGGATGATATCACCATTATTTTTATTTCAAAGATTTTTATCAAGTTATTATTTATTTGTACCTTAAATTTTTGTATTATGTTTCAAAATTACTTTTCTGTCATTATTATGCTCTCATCCTTAACAACATTAATATTAATTATATCGTTGTTATTATTTTTGATATGCATTCGTTATTTTAATATTAATTAGTATTAAATTTTTTTTTAAATTTTTCGTCCATTTAATTGACAAGAATCAAACTTTTTATAAAGTTTCATAAAATGTGGTAAAAATAAAGTTTTCTCACAACGTTTCGCTTTTTTTTATTGTTTTCACCTTAAGGAAAATTTGGCCAAACTGTTCATATGATGAGGTAAAAACATACTATACTGGATGGCATTACGTTAAGCATCAAGTCTTCGACGATTGCAAAGATCGCATGGAACATGTGTGATGCTTTGTTTCACGTGTATTTACATGCAATGTGTTTGTTGTTAATGCCTCTGAAATATAATTATATTTTATTCACATTGGTTTCTAGAACTTAAAACATTTATCAGTCATATTTAGAAAATGTATCATGTTGAAATTAAATTAATTAATTGCTGGTAACGAAAGTGTAAGATAAATCTGTAACTCTAATATTTTTAACAAATTTTAAATCCAAGGAACTCAAATAAACGAAGTAATTGGCAAATAATGATTGAATTTAGTGGAAGCAAAACACATAGGATTGTTTGGCTCCTATAATTTGATACTTCTTAACTGCTGTTGCGAGCGAATAGATAGGTAATATTGGTAACAATGAAGTGATTGTCGTAACAACAACAATCCAGCAAGATATGAATATTATTCTATATTTAAATTTTTGCCTGCGCTAGAGTCTGTATGCAATGAAGGTGTGTGGGTTTTTCCAAAATAAACTTCATTGAGTCTTCAAAGACTCTAGTTTTTTAAAACACAACTTTAATTAACACTTATAGTCTTCGTCATTTATAGTCTTCGTCACTTGGAGCGTATAACATGCATCCGGTATATGCTTTCCATCTAACATCGTCTATCATTGATATTACTGATGAGTTTAAGCCAAATTTGAACCACCTAATCCCTCATTGTTACGATGGAGCCTCAGTTATGGAAGGTACACACTCCGGTGACCAAACCCGAATCAAGAAAAATGCCCAACAAGCAATTTATGTACAACATTTAACACATCTTCTGAATTTGGTTCTAGTACAGCGGAACAACACGGAAAAACTCGTGAATCCAAGCGTATTAACAAGAAGTATTAGCTAGGATAACAAATGATAAATAAATAAATAAATTGCTTCTTTAATTTCCTCACCGTCGTTCATTTTGTGCTTGTTGTTTTAGCCGATAAAATTTTAATTATTAATTCAGAAATTTTTTAAATTGTAAGATAACAAATTTATTGAGATCATCTGCAGTCTGAATATAATTATATTGTAAATAGGTTACCTTCTAGTGTTGCTATCTTCTAATTTTAAACGTGAGATTAAGACGGCCGATTTTAGGTTGTCTTTTCGCGGCTGCGGATTATGAGCAAAGCGGATGTGGGCGGTTGCGGACGTGAACTTTGCGGATGCGAGTTGCTGCGGTTTAGAAAAATCTTTTCTGCTTGGGGCTCTAGTGCAAATAGTCCAAAACTTACCACGTGGGGCGACGCTTGGATTCACGAGTTGTTCCGTGTTGTTTCGTTGTCGACAACTAGAGAATTCGAAAAATAATATTTCATATGAAAAATTGATTAAATTCTAGCTGATTTCTTGAAAATTTTTTGTTTAAACATTTCATAAATTAAATCGTATCATAATTTAAATTTTACTTTTTAAGGTATTTAATTGGAAAGTTTTATTTGCACATAATAAATAATCAAAATTGTTAGCGTGGCTTCTACCGAAGCTAGATCTGTGCTTGTAAACATCAATGGTGTTTGGTACTCTGATCTTTTCAAGGTTTGTTACTTTGCAACGTAAAAATCATCAACGTGAATTCTAATTGAAATTATAGAACAATGCTTACTTTTTTACTAATTATATTTATTAAAACATTTTTGAATTGATTTGTTAAATTATGTCATCTTTCTCATCTTTAAAAATTAAATTGGTTTACTTGTTGGTGCATAAACGTCTGTTGAAAATGATTCTTATTAACAAACATAACATTTGTAAATAATCTAGACAAATTCCAAATCTGAAAAATATTTCTTCAACGTATCTGGATACAGCGGAAGTAAGGATGACGTTCTGAACTATCAAACTGCCTACTTCCACAACGGCATGAAGTTCTCCACACCCGACCAGGTTAACGACCAATATGTCAACCACAGTTGTGCTTTGAAGTATTCATCAGGCAATTGGTTCAACAAGTGCTATTATCAAAACCTGGATGGTCCGTACGGTTCCGTTGATTTCTGTTATGCATTTCTGCCTGTCACTTGCAGCAGGCTTAACATGCTATCCACATCATATTTTCAACTCTTCAAGAAGGAAAGAAAGGAGAAAGGAAAGAAAGAAGGAAAGAAAAAAAGAAAGAAAAAAGTAGCGTCATACATCAAAGAAGTAAACTTTTTTGATGTACCTCTATGAAAATAAAACTTCAAAGAAGCAAATAAAATTTTAAATCAAATAAATTTTTAGAATTTAAGACAATTTTTAGAATTTTAAGAAAAATTTTTTTTCAATAATAATGATAATAATATTAATAATTTGTGTAGGTATATCTGTTCACTCACATATAAGCTATACTTTTTAGTCAAAATGTAATTTGATATTACTTTGAAATTACTAAATTACAAATCACCAATTACTTAAAAAGTAATTTCGATACAAATTATCATACAATTGTAATTTGAATTACGTAATTACATTACTTGAATTACATTACTGCCCATCTCTGCAGATAAGAATGTTATGTGGAAAGTCTAGCTGTGAAAGTAGTGGAGAGCCGTACAACAGGCGGGCAAGTTGTTCGTTGTTGTTTTGGAATGTATGTATGCACAGTTGAGCAAGTTGAATGCATTCTTGTCACTTTGAAATTAATGTTGTAAATTCGTTTGATTAACGTTATAGTTGTGATTTGCCTTGAATGCGTTGCGTTATGTTGGTTGCGTTGCTTTATTTAGCGTTATATCGTCATAAATGAACGTTAAAAATTTGAGTTATTAACATTTTAGACATTGGCTGCTTTCAATATTATATGACTTTGTGTTTGGCTGTTCAGTTTCAAGAGTAAGTGAAATTTGAAAATCAATCATCTTGTTGTTTTTTATATACAATTTGAGAGCGAAAGCTGACAATTATATATTATTTTTTCGATTATTAATGATAATTAATTTAATTATTCATCAATATTGTTTGTAAAATAAAAAAATTTCAAATTCTAACACGCTCTAAAAGTTTTGATGAAATCTAATTTTATTCCGTTTTAGTTAATAATGTTTCAATTGCATTTCAAATGTCATGCGTCAAATTCTGTTTTTTATCCATCGAATTGACAAATTGGACAACGGTCGAAATTGCCAGGAACATCATTGAATTCAAATTTTTCCGATATATGATTATGGAGCTCCAAAAAATCCTCATTGCCACCCTTATTGTTTGGTTCACCACTACGCCAATTACTTATTTCTGCCGCACTTTTGTACTGAAGAATTTCATCTAAAAATTTTGCAGTCCTGAATATTTTCCATTCGAAAACTTGAGAGTTGTTTTTCTTCCTACCAGCCGTCCAGAAGTGATTTTCACAGTAGTCTAAAATATCAATTATAAATATAATACTTTAATAAAAAGATTTGCATAAAAATTAATCGAGATCAGTTTATCTTTTACGTTCAACGAAGTAATTTTTACGAACACATTTTTGAAATGTTTATACTAGTGAGGAAGAAATATGAATAATTTGTACAATTGAACGAACAACAAAATGGTTTTAGATTTAACATCTGCGCGAAGTCAAATTTTTCGGGAATTTTATTTTTACTAATAGAAAAAATGTAAGACAACCTTTATATTTGTTGCTCAGTTGAACATTCAGCTGATTCATAAATTCTTGATTATCAACAATTGCTAAGTTAGCTCCAGAGCGTCACATGCGATGACACTTGCATCCCATGACGCTCCTGTCCTATTGACGTAGATACACCTTCCACCAATGAGGGTGAACGGATCAGGACAAGCACCTACAAGTTCACAAGATGCAGTTTCTTATCTGAACGAATTTCATTGCACCGATCGTTCTGTACGATATATACATATAAATGACAGACCTTCGCCAGTGCAACCAAAGAGGCCAACCAGAAGCAGCGATGCTTGGAAGACAGTTTGGATTTCACCCATATCTTTCGCTGAATCTTTTTCCTAAATGTTGTGGTCTTTAAATTGAACAAAAATTCATTATGGATTAAAAGAAGTAAAATATTGATAATTATTTTAAATATCAGTGCTTAGATTAAACTTATTTAAATATATACTAACGCTGCGTATTTCAGAAAAATATAATTATATATTATGAAAAAATTAATATGGAAAGTTTATCAAAAAACAAAAATTGTTAACCAAGCGATCGTTTTTATGATTCAGTTTCAATTTGCATCTTCCAAACAACATCTGCTCTTCTCATATTTGAATTAATAAAATTTTAAATAATGTTAATACCTGAACAACCTCATTTGAATTCGCGTGACATTTGGCCAATTTACAGTACAAGTTTGTTTTGAAAGTTTTGACTAAAAATGTATTTTAAAATATTTTGAAATTGTTTAAAATATATTAAAAAAGATAATTAAATGGCAAGTAAAGTGGTTATGTGTGCATGTCTACATTTATGCACTTCAATAACTTCCATCAATATATTTTGTAAGTTGCCAAATGCCAGAGAACACAAGACTGCAAACAAGCAACAAACAAACAAACAAATAAACAAACAAATATAAACACAAACAAACAAAACAAGTAATCAACATAACCAATCCCAACGCATCCAAAAAACAGTGAACCTGTTATAATTATCGTTCAAACTAAAATTCAAGAATAGCAACTAGACATAAATATCTCATGTGTGTGTGTGTGGTGTGTGTGTGTGCGCGCGCATGTGTGTGTTGTGTGTGTGTGATGATTGGATGATTGTTACAAAATGGTGACAACGTGAAACACACACGTACTTTTAAACCCTCATACCCGCGGTCAGATTAAAACTTAACGAGGTATTTGGAATTTGGGACCCTTTATAAGGCCCATAAGTTCAACATCATATTGTTATAATACCCGCTGTCGTAACCGATTTACGATGCGACGGGTTCAAATCTTCGATTGAATAAAATACTCCAAACAGTTATTAGTTATTAAACTTTATTTACAGAAGAAATCAACTAATCGTTTATTTCTAGCAAAGTCAAATTAACGCAACAATTAACTTTTAAATTGTTTAAAATCTATCGCTATGACAACGTCAACAAACAAATCAAATATCGCTTTAAATAATTCACCGAATCGCTATTCACGAAATCACAAAATCACGAATTTCACTAATCACGAATCTTCTTGCGACGTGCGCTTATATACTCTTCGCAAGCGTCGTTTCTAGATTCTTCCAGATGGTCCGATTCTAGCATACTCTACAATGCTCCAGTCACTAGAACATTCTAGAATACGCTAGAATCTAGTGCGTTCGGTAGCACGGTTATAACAATATATTTTTAATGCTACATTTATTATATTCTCAGTGATAATTAGACTGAAAATGCATAAAATTATTGCAAAGTAGAACTGAACATTATTATGATTTGTATTTCATTAACTACACAAACTTTTGCTTTATTTGTCACCTTATTAAACGAATATAAATGTTATTTTGATGAAGTAGTTTCCAGAAGATTTTGTAGTCTTCAGCGAGATTGTCGGGGACGTATTTAAAAATAGGGAGGCCCTCATTAAACATATCCTCAAGCATCTGTTGAAATTGGTGAACCAAATACTTTTTTAAAATCAGATAAATGTTAACATGATGAAATATTTTATTCAATTCAATTTTGGTTAACATTTTAAAATTTTTCGTTTTTACAACGATATTCTTTAAATTAATGTTATCGTCAAACAAGTTGCATCCCATGATGCTCCTTTTGTATTGACGTAGATACATCTTCCACCAACAAGAGTGAACTTACTGGGACAAGCATCTACAAGTTCACAAAATGCATTTTATTCGTTAAATAACTTCATCTTAACAAATTTGCATTGCGTTGAATACGTTATAGAATGTATATGTACATATCTGACCTTTGGTAATAACACCAACGAGGCCAACCAAAAGCAGAGAGTTTTTTTAGCTAATGGTTGAGAAAGATTCAAAAAGAAAAAATGTTCTTATATGAAAAATAAATAAAAACAAATGTAATTATTTAAGAAAGTTGCCAAGTTATGCTAACATTTCTAACCTTAAGTCGGGCTCAATAATAATTATATATTAACTTTTTAAAATATATACAATTGCTATGTTTTTCAAGAAAATCTTATTGTATATTAAATGAAACAATTAATTCGAATAGTTTTACAACTCACCATAGTGGAGGGCAATAAACAAAAAATCTGGTTGCAGCAAATCGGAAATATGACAAACTCAGATACCTTCACTGAAACTAAAAGTACTAAAACCGTACAAAACATTTACTCAGACACAAAAAATCCCAATTAAACGGAGTTTGCGCTGCACCACAATAGAAAATTTATTAAGAGTGCAAAAAAAATAAACCCGGCAAATACCGCCCGACCATTGTACTCCGGGGTCCTTCAAAAGGATGTTAAGGTTGTTTATGGAGCAAATAATGTTTGTGAACTGAGGGCAGCACCTAAGCCGGTTGAAAAATCTGTTTTATATCTTGGAAGAATGAGCCCAGATATAGATGATGTTCAGATATTAAATTATCTGAAAAAAATGGCATATCAGCAATTAAAATTTATACCGTAATTAATAAAAACATTGAAAATATTTTAGCGAAATCATTTAAAATAATTATTAAGAAAACCGATTATTCAAAAATTATTAGTGACCCCATGCTTTGGCCTGAGGGTACTGTCATCAGAGACTGGATTTTTAATCAGTCAGATTCACAAACCAATAGGTCTCAAAACAATAATCTCTTCAAGACAACAGATACAAATCCTAATGTCCTATTAACGAACAAAACGCCATCATCTAAGGAAGGTGTTGAACAAATTGTTCAGTCGGAAGACTTGAGTTCAGCTCAACAGCTGAATGACATAAGTGAACGTTTCGAAAAGATAGCTATTACAAATAATTAAAATGGCTGTCAAAAACATTAAACTACCTTTAAACTTTTATATTAATCGTTTTATGTACAACATTTTTCGGACATGAAGGGCGAACTATTTGATAATTTCCAAAGTTCATTCTATCAATGCAGCCGATTTGATGCAGACGAAATCAAAACGTCTTTGCCTATTGCACATCTGAGTCATAAACCTTCAAACACGTCATTTTAAATTTCGCCATGTTGCCAGCGTATATGCTTTCCCCTGTTTAATTTGTTACAATAATTAATTAATTAAATAATTTGTTACAATAATTATAGGAATTTATAAACAAAGATTCTGGCTTTTATTTAGAATTACATTAACTGTATAATTAATGTTTCAACAGAAATCATTATAGTTGTACGCGATACGGGCGAGCGCGCACACACACACACACACACATTAGTTTTTACCATTCCACAGCGATTTAAAAATAGTAAATTTTAAAAATATTTGGTTAAAAATATAATGAAAATATAAGATATAAAGTTTAAAAGTGTACAAATAAACATGTTGGTTGATGCTTATGATGTTATCTGTCATGCCTGTCTTAAAAAAATTAAGGAACAACAAGAAAAATATTGATCAAGAAAAATAAATAAAAATGGACCTTAATTAAAATTTTCTCGTTGTGGCGTTCCGTCTGCAGAAATGTTTGTAACCGTATTGTAATTCAGCAAACGGGGAATGTGAAACCGATTAAAACAATCTTGCAAAGATTATTCAATTGATGTTAATCTGTTCAAAAGTTATGTTTTGTAAATTTATTAGCACATATCTGATACAGGGATACAAATTGATTACCAGAGAAAAAGAGACACCATTTACCACATTTTTTCAAAAAATGAAAGAATAGTATTACGAGGACACAGATACTAGCTCTCCAATAAAATAAAAACGGCCGTCAAGCAAAGATTCTTCAGCAGGGGAGAGGCAAACATCTGGAACGATCTGAGTGATGAGAAGTCTTCGCGGAATCAATCAACAGTTTCAAGAAAGTTAGGATACCAGGACACTTATCTCGCAGCGGCTCTCGCACAGACTCCAATCTACTGAACCAATCTAAGGGAACATTTTTTTGGTCTGATGGTATATCATTTCAATTGGTTGAAAGGCTGATAATAAAGTCAAGTTTAAAGAACATCAAAATAATTTAATAGATCTTTTTCAAATTTTAAACATAATATAATTTTCATAATTTTCAAAAATTCGTCTGAAAAGTTGAAGGGTGCGACAACATAACACGACAATCTATATAATACTATTCTCCTGCTAGTAAAGCAACTTTGAGTGTCAGATGTGAACACATTATATGTTTGATTTTTCACTTTTGAACCAGCGCTAAATGAGGATACAAATTTCACGATAAATATTTACAAAAAAATCTCTCTTTTTATTAATTATTCTTGTTTTAATCATTTAAAAAACTTTTGTACAAACTACATTAATAACCAATAAACAAATTAATCAACCAACCAATCAACCAACCAACCAGCCAAACAATCATCACCATCATCCAATAATTACAAAAAAAAAACGTGGGAGCGTCGCGATCAGACATTGAATATCATCTGTGCTTAGCAACAAAGCAAACAACATAGCTCGTGGGTTAAATTTTTAGTAACCTTTTTAAAATGTTAACATTTTACGAATATGAATATGTTTTATTGGTTTCACACACACACATACACACACACACCACACACACACACACACACACACACACACGGTTGAGTAAACTATGAGATTTTATTGACATAAAATGTTAATTGTTGCAGTATGGATCAAGTAGGGTCTAATCATTCAACAATATGCAGAATGTTAAACTATTATAAAATAATTTAGCAATGAAAAAACATTCAGTCTGAAATAAAAATATTAAAAAGTTGAAGCACTCTAGATTTATTTGACCGTATGATGAATGAGTGTGTGGTACTATGTAAACATGTTAAATACTACGCGTTAAAACGTTGTAAATATTTTCACTGTCGGAATCCCATTGAAAACTACAAATAGCTGTTGTCTAA